GGCCCTGGAGAAAAAGGGGCCAGACAGAGCGTTGGACACACAAACATATATATATATATATTTGTATATGTGCGTATAAGTGAAATATGTACATCAGTTTACGTTACATGTGCATACGCCCCCGAGGCCCCCACAGACGAACTCCTAGAACCACAAGAACATTGTTCGAAGACAGACATGTCACACATATTGACATGCCGAAAAGCTATCCATTTTGGTACATGACCAGTGTGCGCTCCCTTCACAACGTGCACCAGGGTCGGGATGAACTCACTCATAGTCACCATAGCCACAGGGAGGCTCACATACTCCACCAACAACTTCAGCATTTTCTGAGCACCGAGGGGTGTTTCGCAGCCCGGTTTGCCACCGTCGCTTCCTTCGGCGGACGGTGGACGCCAGGACTGCGTACCGTCACGCGAACGGCGGCTCTGGAGCTCCTGCCCTTCATGAGGATTCCACCTGGAGGTCACTGCCACATCGGAATCGGGAGGAGCCATGGCGAGGCATGAGCTTGGAAGTTCAAGCCAACATATAACATCCCGGATACCCCTAACCCGGTGGTTTCAATGGAAAAATGTAACTTACGAGGCCCCCCCTAACAATACGGTAGGGATAGTATAATAACCAAATAATCATTGACTCCCAAAGATTGATTACTCAAACACTCTCAGGGGAGCAGTGGAAAGTGACGCGGAGAGGGCTGGGTCTCCTATGGCCTCCTCATTCAGCTTGACCAGCTAGGAGCAAACATGTTCCCCTCCGGTTTCCACCCCCTGCTTTCCACCGCCTACATCCGTCTACCAGCTGAACCTAATTAGTTGAATTCTTTCAGTGATCATGCGAGTCTTGAACTCAGGATCTTCAAGAGCGTTTGTTCTGCGCAAAGGAACCTCGCTTGGTCGTGCGCCACTGGGCACATCGCAGACGGGAGCTCTTTGCTTGGGCAAGTTCTCACGAAAAAGGCACCCCCCATCAACCCGAAGACCAATCCTCAAAACAAGATGGATGGGGACAGTGCAAATCCGTCTCAAGAGTAAAGCGCGTTACTGCTAAATGCAGAATTCAAGTGCGGACTGAGCGAAATTCCATCCGCAGTGGTGCCTTCGGGTCCTCGCCTGGTGGAACCGGTGACGTCCGACCTGCATGGACTCTCAAAACCTCTCCAAACCTATAGGGTTGTTGGGTTGGTCTTCGGAAGGGGGTCCGAAGAACGGTCTTTGGTTTCTTCACGGGCCATTTGTGGGTTCAGGGGATCGGTCAAGAAAGCCAAACACCTTTGGTGATACCATGTGAGACCAGGAGCTCTAATAAGGCGGGATCCTTGTTTCAAGGGTGCTTTTTGATGCTCTTTGGACCTCACATTCAAAAAATTGCATTTGTTCACCCAACGAGGGAACCTATGATTGTACGGCAGGTTTCGAGCATCTTCCTGCTGAAAATCATGAGCTCATGAAGGTATTTGTTTTTCATGAGTCTGATCAGAATACACAGGGAAAACGTCGAGCGGACGAACATGGAACCCCAAATTGACCTTCAGTTTCGTCCCCGGCACGTCGGCCACTTCGGCCACTTCGGAGTCCCCCTCTGACGAAGAGGAAGACAAGAAGTCCCAGACACGTGTCGTAAAATCACCTCCCCCTTAAGCTATGAAAACAGGGGGGACCTACAAATGTAATATTACGTAAACACTTTCCCTACTATATTACATAAAGCTGCAAGCTTGAGCGATGCAAACACATTTGGGATCGGCGATAGGCTTATCGTACACAATGTAAACCAAAGACAACAAATATCTAACAAATGGCAAGATTGGTCCCCAAGATCTCAGGGTTTTTTCAGATGTCTCCGGTCTTAAGGCAAAACGTTCTTTGACGTGGAGGAGCCTTCAGAGGACGAGGAAGATCAACACGTCGTCGGTGCACGAGCCATGCAGCGTCCCAAGACCATGGTGCTCGAGCGCGTGCCGGTGCTGGTAGCATGAGGCAGTGAGGATCATGAACTGGGCTGTGTGGCTCCAAGATTTTCCAGCAGTGATGCGATGCAGATTGTAGAGATGTTGCTGCTGCATGCTGCTTACAGGTGCTTGTGACTGCTACTGTAACAGGTTCCTGATGCGGGCACATGGTCTGCAGAAATTGGTTTAACGAGGGATGTTTCCCGACTTATCCCGACTTTCTATGCAAGTGCCCAGGTACGTATACAACCGGGTAACTGCATACGTAAGGTCAAAGCTGTGTAGATATCCTTTCGCAGAACGGTGTTAAAGCACACCGCGTGTGCTCTAGCGGCACGGTGTACAGGTGTCTTTCATGACGCACATTTCTGGATACACTCCGGCTCATGTTCCATGGAAGTGGACAACCACCACCTGCTTGGTGTTTGGAAAAAGGGTCATCATTGAATCATGACAAGTTCACATTTACGACAGTGCAGATGCTTGCGTCATTCAGAGGCCCAGTCTCCATGATGGAAACCATTGAATCTCATGAATGCAGGGTCTCCAAACATCTCTTGACGCTGCTCAGCGGCTCGGCGCTGCGTTCTCGGCCCCACCGTCCCGCCATGCCGGGCGGCGTGCCGCTGAAGCAGTGCGCCGATCCGGATCGGGGGAATCCGCGCCGAGGTGATGAGAAGGCATTTTTGGTCTCGGGTTCTTGGGCTATCTTGGGCTATTGTTATAATAGGTGTGTTACATGTAATATGACGTACATGCCAAGATCAGGTCTTTGCCAAGCATCCAGTCTTAGCAGTTAGTAGGATGCTTCGAAGTCATGCTTGTCTCAAGTGCTTGACAGAACCCAGGCATAGAGGAAGGTTCTGGAATTAGGATAGAGCACAGGTACATGAGTCAAACAGTGCCAACAGTGCACTCAAAACCTTGGGATGTTCGCATAATATATATTCTTATCTTGTTGCTCAAAGTAGTTCTACCATTTCCTGCGCGTGCCCTATCGTTTCTCTTCTCTCACTTCTTCTGCGTACCCAGGTACGAGCTGACGTTGCAGAATGCCCAGCGCGTGCTCGCGAGCCTTCTGGAGCAGCCTGCCAAGCCATGGGTCCCCTTCAGCGTGTCTTGGCATTCTCGAAGCTCCGCAGCCGTTTTTCCGCAACAGGGCCTTTTGAGGTATGGTACGAATGTGATTCACAGTAGGTGCACATATGTTTCCCAATCTGGGCCCTCAAGTCCTGGCTGAGCAGAGCATTCAAGTAACGTGAATATGATTTTATAGTGGTCCCCAAACACCTTTCGAACGGGATTTTTCTTTTCTATCATGTTGGGGGGTCTATATTGGTAGGTTCACCTATCCTGCTTTGGATCATTTGTTATTTCACTCCATGAATCGATCCATCCGAAAGCAGCACCTCCCTACTTTCCCGATGGACAAAGGCACGATGCATCTCGCGCCGCAGCCTAGGCCTTGTTGCAGGAGCTTTCAGAGCAGATCTCTCAGCTTCGGCGCAGCTCCGCAGCCAGCACCCTGCAGCGTGCGTGGCGAGGTTTCGGTGGCACACGCCATCGGCCGCGAGGAGGTGCAGGCCGGTGTGTTGGTGCAGGGATGTGCAGGATTCCCTGCAAAGGGTGGGGAAGAAAATGAATCCAATTCAGAAAGGCCATATGCTGGCAACTGTGACGCTCAACAGGGTTGTGGACCTTCATTCTACTCAGGTAAGGGCAAGGCATACCTGGATGGCCATGTGGTCTAGGTGTAATAGCAAAGCGTCACTGGTGTCACTGGTGGTGCCGCCCAGATGGTCACTTCTCGATCTTTTGCGGGGTCACTGCCACGATATCAAGCGACACGTCGAGTCTCATTTTACTCCGTGTGTTTGGACAATCTTGAAGAGATGGCCACAGATGATTGCAGTGATGTGGACTGAACCAGACAAATGTCACAGAATGTTGCAAGATTCACTGTACTGAAGCGCGTTTTGGGATAACCAAAGGTGTGAAATTAGCTTTCATATTGTTCTGGATGAGTTGTGCAAACAGGCCCGTTGGACTACTTTTGGAATGCCACGCAGAAAGAACCGTCGGCTGCTGGCCAAAAGCCTGGAAGAGCATGACAGCATGGACCTAGTATAGGGTGGAGAAACAAACATGTGACAACCATCTCCAGCTTTGTCCTGGAGTGCCAAGAAAACCCGCTTGGCCTCCTTTCTCACCCCTCAACCTACTGGTAGCTGGGGCAGGTGTTCAATCGGAAGGCAGTGGAGAGAGAGAGAGAGAGAAAACACCATCATCCCAGCACCGAGTGCATTGGAAGTGAGCGTCAAAGAGAACCATCCCAATGCTCTTTTGGGCTTCCTCCCGCATGGCCACTGGCACGCATCACTTTCCTCGCTGCTCCATCCATTCTTCTCCCCTTAAATCACAAATATATATATATATGTATATTTGTAATACCCACAGGTGGGCCCTGCAAGACATGGAGGCCAGGGTGCCTTGGCGGAAACATAAGCACGCCTCGGCGATGGGGAGGTCGACATCGAAATCAGATCAACATGGGCGGAGATACTAACTAGACTAGACTCTTAGAACAAAATCATCATGGCTACTTGGATGGCACCACCTGTTTGCAAGAGGATTCCATGATCATTGAAGGGGCCATGCCATGACCTTCCATGATTCTTGGGAGTGTAGTTGTTTTATATTTGGGCGTTTGGGTTACGAGTGACTCAGCATCGCCAGACTTTGCCAATAGATTCCAACAGGATCCTATCCTCAGGGAGAGGGCCAAGGCTAGGAAGTCCTCCGAGACTGCCAAAAATCAGCAGAAGAAGGTGAACTTATCCCTACCTGAGAACCAGGCTTGGTACAGTAGTTCGGCAATTGGTTGAGCAGATGGTGCCATGTTCGACTTCAGTGTTTAGCCACATTCTGAAGTTGTGTTGTGTTGCTGTAAGTTTGCTTTGCAGATCTAACAACCCTTCCCGGCCTCTTAGACAACATGTCATGTTTGTCCGCCGCTTGATGTTTGATTCATGATGTCCTTCAACAATCAAATCACACGACTAGGAACACCATGACACTGCGCACAGTTCTATGTTGGCATTTTAATGTATGTTATATTGAATAGTCCCTAAGGCTCCACTACCTCCTCCGAAGGTGGTTAGGGTGGGTGCCAGGGGGTCTAATCACCTTCTGAGGAGGTAGTTGGAGCCTTAGGGAGGTGTCCAGTTGTTGCGGCAAACTCTTGATGAAGAGATGCGCCCACCAGCAAAAAGTGACTTCCTACGACCAGGGCTTTTTCTGGCAAAGGAAAGCACATCCAAACCTCTCGGATCTCCATCCACTCGCTGAGGAGCTTTAAAAGCTGCAGCGGTGGCTACGCATGCGAAGAAGCTCCAAAGAAGATACTGAAACTTGGCTTTGGCAAGTGATTTGAGGTGCTTCGCGTGTCCACAGTGGAAAAGCAGGCAGAAGAAAGTGCAGAAGAAATGGAAGGCGTTCCCTGCAATGGTATTTTAGAGATGTATTGGAGACAAGCTATAGTTAGTAGTAGTATTGACTTCTGCCATCCACTTGTGGCAGGATGGCCTGATTGGCTGTGAAAAGCTTTTGGCGTGGTGGATTTGTAACCACCATTAACCACCCATAAACCGCAGCAGCTGCATTTCAGATGTAGAATTCATTTTCGTGGTCCTGTCCAACGATTCAAACGTAGATCCTACGTGCTTTGAGGGCATGGACCAACACATCTACCAACCCAAACCAAGCCGAGTGAATTCCAACCCAAACGATGCGGTTCATGCTAAGGATTCCGATGCGGCCGCCCATGCCGCCACCTTCGGGTTTGGGAACTCGGGGCCCATGCGGCGCGCCCAGCGAGCGGGTTCAGGGTTCGGGTGCTGAGCTGTTTAAGAGCTCCGGAGGCCTGGCACCTGTTTCAGGTGTGACGCCCCAAAGAATCGCCGAATTATGATGGTTTTCTGGCACGCGGTTCTGTATCAACATCTCATCAGTGCAGGACTGCAGTGATTTTGAGTCCTTGTGTTACGGTTCCGCTCAGATAAGCTTAGTCAGCCTCCTTCCGGAAGATGGGGAGATTCTGGGGGGGGCCCAAATCCTCCGGCTTGACAGCCTCCACATATGTTGACAATATCGGGCCAAGGTCCAAGCTGAACTTATCCAAGCACAAGCTAAACCCTAGCTTTCCAAGACCATTGATAATGATTGACCTCGTGTTGTAGTCTAAAAATCCTTAGTTAAACTTAGTAAAACCCTGGTTGTTTGGGAAATAGCCTTAAATCAAGCCCAGGCTGGTCAGAGATTTTCTCAGAAAAAATGATGGTGGTCGAGAAAAAAAATACACAACCACCCCGAGGGGACTGGCCAGACACCTTTTCGACCCGCTCACCACAGAGACCGGGTCGCACCGAAGCGCGGCAGGAAACAGAAGCATCGATGGTTCTTAGATACAACGGCCCCAACACTGGCTCGACATTCCGAATGGCCCGGTTCCTGTTTGGAATGACCTGACATCATTCAGAAGATTTCAGAAGTAATGGCATGGACTTCCTACATCTTCCTACACTATTAGTTTGTGTATATCCAAAATGGGCACCACTTTTGGTAGCTCCAGGTGTGGGTCCTTCTACTTTGCATCCGCTTTCCTGGCTCTAGATTGCTTTCTTCACGACTCGGTTGGCCCTTCCGTTTCGCTCTGTTGGGGCCCACCGTTGTTTTCGGGACGATCCTCGGAGCTGCGATGCGCCTCGAGGCACAGCCTTGAACCCTTTGGAAAAGCGGCGGCAAATGGTTGCAGCGCAGTTGGCCATCAGTCATGCCGGCGCCGAATTTGAGTGGGCGAAGTGGGTGAAGTCATGGTTGGTCTAAAAGCATGGAATGTTCACACTAGACGGGTCTACAAAATGTTGCTGTGCGGCATGGAGGAGAGGGTTTTGGTCTATCCGTGCCAGGTCTAAGTTTTTGGCTTGCTACTTGTACTTGTACCAGACTACAGATGAAGGACTCCACACCTACCTACATATATATATATATACATATATATATATTTATATTTATTTATGTTTTTTTTTACAGATTATGCAGCAAGCAGGAAGAGAGCGTGAGACAAACCCTTGCAGCTTCAGGATGGTACGACCTACAGCAAAAGGACCCTTTGCACATCTGCCTCTTGGGTTCGATTCCATCCACCTTCATCAGTCTGAGGTCACTGTTGTCACCCCAGCTGTGCCATTCATGGATTGGGTTGGTGAATGTATAGAGACACCCCAAGTGTACCACCAACTGGTACATGATACCCAGCCCTTTTTATTTCCGTTTCGAGGGGCATCATTGGGAACCATGCGCCTGGATCAGCCTGCCAGGCAACCCTTCCCGCTTGGCCCGCTCGAGACGGAGGGCTCCTAGTGATTTCACTCCGTCCGGAAAGCCCCAGAAACCACGGGGCTGAGCGGCCTCGCCGCGGCATGGATGTGAGGGCAGGGGTCGTAGGGCTGGAAACTTCAAAAAACCATGGTTCGGGGTGGGGTCAAAAGGACGACTGGCGTCTGTTTGGAGCTCCGAACTGTTGGCTTTCGCGCCCAGCATCCTTCGGAAGTCGGAGCTTTCTTGGTTTCTTTGGTTTCCACTCTATGGCTGCATGAAGTTGTGTTTGGATCTCGAAGTGGGCTAGCTTGTTCCGCTGTGGCTCCGAATTCCCCTCCAGTTTCTGACAGAAACTTCTGTTTGAGTTTGGAAGAAGGCACATGTACTGAGACTGATGAGCAAGTCTTGCACCACCATAGCAAGAGTAGAAAGCCATTGCGCTATTGGCAATCGACAGATGGACGAAGGAACGGTTCCAAAAAATGTCAATTCGATCTGCTCCCGGCTCAGGTACACACAATACTACAGTAGGTGTTTTAAAAGGCAAAGGTTGCTTTGGAGGAGGCGGTTTGCTGTTCAGTCCTTTCTTACCCAGGTCCTCCATGGTCTCCAGTGAAGGCACGTCGACCATCCAGGACAGAGTTGCCGGCGCAGAAGAGCACAGGAAGCCCGTTCCAATCCCATTCCAAACATGTTGCCGCAACATACCCTAACCCTAAGATCGGGGGTAGCAATGATAGCTTTTGGCCAACTTAGCTCAAAGAAAGAAGCTCTCCTGGGAGCCAGCATGGATGACAGAAGAGAAGGAAGCTCCCAAAGAAAGAAGAAAGAAGCGTTCTGTGATGACGTGGAATGACAGGAGGACGAGACGGTGGAAAGGCTACCAAAGCTACAGCCGTTGGCAGCCGCATGCACTGTTGCTCGGCCTGTGAAGGGTTCCTAAGATGGGCAAGACTACAAGGCCCCCAGTTGCTACTCGTACGAAATGGTGCAGTTTTTGAAGAACCCAACACTGGCCATTAGTCTGATCTTATCCAGGCAAAACCAGGAAAGTGTAACTTTTGTATTGCATATTGTACATCCAAATGCCGGCTAGGTTTCGGCGTTTGGGGTACATAGACTCCTTGCCCTACGTAGGTGTAGGTGTTCCTGTGAAATGATGGGTCATTGTTGCATCCCTTGGTCACCAACCATGGGTTTTCCCCTTTGCTTGTGATCGAAAAGCAGGCCAGCGATTTCCCCGCGAGATGAAGGTCTTTAGGGCTGGCTCAGTTGTGATACGGGCGCAATGCCGGGAATGTTTCTGTGTGACAAACTGACACATGAGAGGGGGCTTTGATGAGACCTCAGGTTCCATCTTGGTGTTCCGGTGGATTAGGATGGTTGGTCCCAAACCGAAGCGCTGAAAAACATCGGCTATTCTATATAGGAGTTGTATGTAGTCCTGCATTCTCAACTCTTAATTATTTGGTGCTGCTACCCTGGTGCAAGCAAAGGGAATCATTCTGGAATCATAAAACAATGCAAGCAACAACTTGAATCATTCTTTGCCCGACATAAGACCAACACATCCACAGGTCTTTCTTGCAGGTCTTTCACACCGGTTGCTTTTGGGGACTCGTCAGTTGGTTCATCCATCGTGGACTCAGGTGGGGCGAAATGCCCGCGGCATCGAGGTGGTGTGGCACCTCAGCGGGACGAACGGGGAAAACGGCCCGTCACTTGCTGAGAAAGCCCGGGTGACGTGATTTTTGGCTTCGTCTATGATTATTGGATTATGGTGTGTTCGAAAATGACCTATGATTCATTTGGCGTGACTTACGCGGCCCATTCATCTGAACTTCAACCGCTTTTGGAACATGTGAGTCGTCCTTGAGAGACTACAAACTCGAGATCGGCTTGCATTAGGGTTTTCAATACAATTGTTCTACGATTTTTTACGGCGTGTTGAAGAACTTGTCCATACATGAACGGCTGTAGCTGCAACCCAACGGTCTTCATAAACTGACGTTGAAAGAAGAGGCCCTGACACAGCTCCTGACACCACTCACATAGGAGGGGCTGTTTTAGACATATGGGGCCAAACACTTGTGATATGACGATATGAAAGGCCCCGTTAGTAAGCCTTAACCTAGTGGCCTATATAGATCGAAAAGTCATTCAAACAACCTCTCAAAACAATAAGAGCACGTCCAGGAGAGTTCAACAGTAGTCTGTCTCTATGGACCTGAGGCTAGGTACATGCCAAAAGAACTCCACCTACCACCCATCACTTGATGCATCTATAGTGACTCTGCCTGCACTGACCGATAGGAGATCGTGGGCGCTGCTCCTTTGGAGCTTCTCTTGAAAGACGAGCTCATAGAGGAGGTCCCGAATTGTGCTGATCAGCCAGGAGCTCAGACCAGGAGCTCAGCCTGTTTGGCCAAAGAGAAGCAAGAAAAGCTATAATATGGCAGATGGCGATGCTAAGGCCAGTTTCTGGTTGGCATGTGGCAGAGAAGTTTGTGCTGCTTGGGGTCCTCTTTGAAGGGGTGCCCACTCATTTGCTACATAAAGATCAGCATTTACCAGTGGCTCCAGTCAGTGTGGATGACAATCAAGCCCGAGGGGAGCATTTTTTTGCGCAAGAGGATCTTCTTTTTGGTTTAAGTTTAATCCTTTTCCAAAAGCACCTAAATCTTGCTGTGGCAGTTTGAATTGGAGGGGTGACGAAGACGATGCATTGAAGGTCCGTTCTTTCCTGACCTCTGACCAATGCTCGCGCGTTGCAGCACGAGTCGAGCGTCGACGACTTGGGGGTTCAAGTGGCTGACTCACCCAAAAGCGGGGTGGTACAAGACCATGTTGGATTATTTTTCTTTCAATGTTGAACACGCACAGTACATGTTTTTAATATATTCTCATAATTTATACACATATATATATATATAGCACCCCCTCCAACACCCACCTAATGCGTTTTTTACATGTAATTTACTGTGTTTTTAGTTATAAGGAAATTGTTTGTTCCTTTTCCCAAATGGTTGTTTTTGACACTTTCCACTTGGGGGGGTACCATATATATATATATAGGGCATAGGAAGAAAGAATAATCTTCAATCTTCAATCCAAAAAGTACGTGTACTATGGCATACTTTCGTCTTTCCACTGCTTTCCAAGTCAGTTCAATTGCCAGAGTCTCGCATGTGTACACGTTTGGACTTTCTTTGCGAACCTGTTGTATAATGTGGGGTTCTTGATGTCAATCAGGGCTTGGATTCAAGAAGTATTTCTACCAGAATCTTGAATCCCAAACCTCTTGCAAGCTTTGCAAAGTTTCCTGAAGCCATCTGAAACGTGGAGCTTGAAATAAAAAAGGTGATAGATTCAAAGTCAATAACACAAAATATGACATGTTTGTTCACCGTAACCGTTTTTGTTTACAAACAATGTTGAGAAATATGTTTCATATACAACTGACATCAGGGGTTCTGAATAACACCTGTAAAAATGTACCGAATTAAATTAGGACACTAGAACATAGGACATATGAATATGAAAAAGGAGAACGGCTCATCTGCAGCGAATACACTAAGTTTGATGGGAAAGTTCTTAATGCAATTTTTGAATATGACATAGTAACAGTGTGTGATACATTTTTAGTGTTGAACGATATTAAAAGTCAGGTCAAGGGTTTGAACAAAGGTTTTGCAAGGAAGAACTTCATATGTGCTTCTTGCTTTACTTGTCATTCTGTCCAAGGTAGTAGTATAGATGGTGATATTTATATCTTTGATTACAACAACTTTCTGATAATAACTTATAGGGAGTGGCTTTGGATGGCAATCACACGAGCTAGTGATTTAAGTAGAGTTATATAAGTTTGTTTGAAATACGGTGATGACACTGAAGATGACAAGTATAGTACACAATGTATCACAAGCTATTTTAATAGGATGGTTGAACAAGATAACATACAGGATAGAAATGGTAAAAGAGAAATACCTCAGGGAGGTTGTATTAAGGCCCAACGGTTTATGGATAGTACAACCAATCAATGTAAGTACTATGGATGTGAGTTTACATTCGATATTAGAAAGGATATATAGTTCATCAACAAATCTGACAGAGGATGTCAGATCAGAACAACACAACATTATATATATATAGTTAGATATACTGAAGGGTTTTAAAGCCTGCGACAGTTGTAGAGCCACACAATCAAGAATACATTACAAACAATACAGAATGCGACCAACGAAAAAGGAAAGAATGGCAGGAAAGCCATCCTGAAAAGAGCCAGGAAGCAAATGAAAGGGCAAAAGCAAAGGCATCAGAAAGAAGGTAGTATAAGATACTGCCCCTGATGTGAATATGATGCCCAGTGTAAAACATCCCAACACGAAAAGGGAAGCTTCCATCAAGAGAATGTCAGAAAACAAACTCACCCAGAAGAGTTGGAAAATGAAGATGAAGCAGGTAGCAAATACTTTGACAAAGAGGGACGCAACATTTATAGCTGTATTTGGCTGTATTGCTTGTAAATGTCCTCAAAATTGGCCTTATCAATGGAGACCACGCATAAGGACTGAAGCACATCAACACAAGGCAGGTAAATTACCTTTTAGGATTATGTGATGTTGCTTCGCAAAATGCTATTTGCTTGACAATACGCTTTGCAAACCCAAAATAAACGGTTGGTCTTGGGGGGGGGGCGTAGCACACACACATATATATATTTACCAGGCTACCGCCTGCAGCCGCCGACCCCCAAGGGATAGGACCTTAGCGCTAGCCTTGCTTCCAGGCAGAGAGGTGGGGTGAGGCGATGTTAGCGGCAACCGTGGCCTAGCCGTAGCGTGAGACTTAGCCTTAGCCTTAGACCGCCCCCAGGTAGGAATTCCTCCTTTTTATCATGTCCGCTGCATGTAGGTTCCCGGATCTGCTCCAAAATTGATAAACTTATTTTTAATCCCGGCCAATGCCCTGGAATTTTCCCAGGAATGCGCTAGGCTTTGTGTAGATTTTGCGCTGGGCGAGGTCTAGCCAGTGCCCGTGGTAACGTGAAAGGCCCGGGGAAGATTTTCGCATGCTTGTCAGGCGCCCGTGTCCGCGGCATGTGGCGTGTTGGTTCTAGGACGGAGCAGCGCAAACGGAAGCTTGGGCAGGTGGTGGCGAGGTTCTCGCGCCAGTGCGGGAAGAGACCGTAGCCATGTACATGCGGGTGGCACGCGCGCGTGGCGGAATGTCTGCACTGCGGTAGGCAGGGGGGGGGGGGACGGAAGGGTGTGGAAGCGTCGTAACCAACAATCTCATTGTACGGATGAAGCCGATACGCTTGTTTGACAAAGCGTCAACTCACCACCACTCATCCTTATATTTAAGTTTATATTATATACTATATATATATACACTTCTTATGGGTCTACATATGATCCTATGTTGTATGGGTGTGACATGGTTCCTCCTATGCCTGGGGGACATGAAGCTTGTACAAGAACAACAGCAAAGCGGCACAGCATATATTTCCCTCCGCACAACTTCTGAACTTCATCGGTCTCTTGCCGATTGGCCGATTGGATTGGCCGACTAGCTGCCTGCACTTTTGCAAAGCCAAGCTGTACCAAACACATTAAACAAACACATTAAGCAACTGTGCGAGCACTTTCATCTCTCTGAGACTTGGGGTGCTTTCGCTGTTTCTCTGGAAAAAACTAAGAATCTAAGAGTCTAAGTCTAAGAACACAGAACTAAAATAAAAGAGAAGGTGAGAAGGTGAGCTGAACAAAGCCATCGCGACTGGCATACGCATCCACAACCCAATATGCGTATATAGCCGATTCCTGCTTAGCTTATTGTGTGTTGCTAGCCGGTTGTCGGTTGCTGTCTCGCCATGTGTACAAACTCAAACTAAACAAAAAAACGTGACTATTATATTTTGTTCTAATAAAACAACAAGAATATCAACAGTTGTTGAGAATTGTTACGCCTGCAAAATCAAAACAAAAGCAGCACCCGACATTTCAGTGTGACACCTCTGCATTTGTTCAGCGCATGAGGTGTTTACCAAGGCCAACAACATCTTTGCACAACTGGTCACTCTTCTTGCTGCTGCGCTTGTTCAGGATCGTCACCATGCCACTCTCCTTGTAGTTGTTGGCAGCTGCACACGGACCAAGTTGGAACGACACCTCAAGGCTGGATTCATCTTTGCCATCGGTAGCATTGATGTCTGCCTTGGCCTTCTTCAAAGCCTCCTGCATGACCTTGGCCCTTTGGCAGCGGGATTGCCTTTCTTCATTGCCAACCATCTTTGAGATCAAGATCTGAGTAGGCATTTTGATTCCATCCCTAGCCTTTTGCACCAAGCTTTCCAATTGGTTCTCATGATCGATGATCTCCTGCAACTTCTGTTGACGTTCCTCATGGTCGTCTGGCATGACCAAACCCAATGAAGAGAAAAAATCTGCCATACCATCACCTTGACCTTGACCGTGTTTTCCGTTCTTGACTTTCACACCTGCTTTTGCCTTTGCTTTTGCTCGCTTTTTCTCAGCCGCATTTGCAGCCTTTGCAGCTGCCTTGCTTGCTGTGGTGATCATGCTTCTGATCTGCTTCTCAATGTTTGCCTTTTTGTCTTCCATCTCCCGTGCAAGCCCATCCTCTAAGTCAGCATGTGGATACAAGCATTGAAATGTCATCTCAAACCTCACATGGGGTAGTGATTCCACTCTCAATACCACCTCATCATGAGCATCCTTGTTCTTGTCAGGTGAAGGGACGTAGGTCACATCAATGTCGGTGTAGGACTTGCCGTACTTGAATATGACAAAGTCAACATGCATGCCTTCCTGGTAGAAGTTGGATTGGTCCATTCTTGTCACAGACTTCGCTGACCACCCAGGAACACAGTAGTCGGAGGACACAGAATCTTTGCATGGTTCCATCCACCAATCAACCTCATACAAATGGCCAATCTTGACATAGGATTATAGTATTGTAATCAATGTCTACCAACCCCACAAATACTGTTAAGATTTGAAGAATGAACGCCATTGGTTGCCATCCCGTTGTTCAACTTATCGTTTGCAATGAAGCAAAATATATTATCATTCCTAGACCATGTAAATGTAACAGGTTGATTGAATAATATATGTCAAGTAACTCCAAAGACTTTGCAGCAAAGGTAACCACCTTTCGGCTTGCTCTGCACGATTTTGTTGACCAATGGCAAGCATAGATCCTTTTTCACCGGCAACTTTGCATACAGAGCCTCCGATTTGTTTGCAGCACTAAGATTCACATAGACATGGTCAAGGTGCATTGGAGCCAAAGACTCATAAGCCGACCACATTGCCCCATTGAGTTTCAACTCAATGAGTTTGAACAGAGAACCCTTAATGTCAGT